AATTGACTTTTGTGAGGATCGTATTGATGCGTTCCGAATATCCATTTGACTTCAATTATCAAGGCAGTTAACCGTGAATTATAAATAGCCTTTGGTTCGACATATTTCGCCTTAACAATACTTTTGACTCATTGACATCAACCAAATGAGGGAGCTTATTGAATAGAGCGGTTCGCAAATTCAAAGTCATCGGATACTTCAGAAAGAAATTCCCAATTGAGCCTGAACAAGTGAAATCACAGGACTTGCATAATTTTTCAGATTTGAATAGCACTTCAGCTTTGTTAGCCTAGAAGTAACAAGAGAAGTTATTTGGTACCCTTAACTGAACGAGGATTCTTTCTGTGTGCAGACTGAAAAAGTCAGTTAGAAACTAACTGAAGAAGCATGAGAACATCTATAGTACCGTTAATTTTCATCCCCGAAATCTTTCTATCTCAGAAAAATCGCTCGGAATCGGTTATGTATAAAATAAATCAATCACCTTAAGTTTTTCAGAAACCTGGTTATCATTACTACTCCTAACCTGGATATTGGCCTTATCATAGACCATCGCGATTTTATAACTCTAGACATCTTAGAACTGATCCCCAAATCGCCCAGCTTGGACCTGGGTCTGTCATGGGGCAGTGAATCAAACGCTCCTCGACCAACGAAAGTCGATAAATACTGTGTAGACCTACCTTTCTGGAAAACGTACCTAAAGGTAGAGAGCTGAGGCAAGCGTCAACATAGCATCAGTGCTGCTCCTGGTAGATCTAAATCCAAATTGAGCTTGAGGAAGAACACTATTTCTTCCTAATCAGTCTTCAAGTCAATATTATTTCGGATAATATAATTGTGAATTAAAATTTTTATGAAAAATTTTAATAATTGAATAATACTGGTCGCGAACGCGAATACATAACATTGTACGATGGTAAATTTTGAATGATTGTAATATAAAAATATAAAATGGTAACTGGTAAGTAGAGTCGTACCAATTATTTGAATAATATTAAAGGCATTAAATATTATAAACATGGATATATTGTAACGTAGTATCTGGGTGTTCAACCGTTTGTCAATTTTAAGATGTTCAAACGATAACTCAACTATTGGTGAGGAGTGAGTCAGATAAATTAATTTATTTTCTTTTATTTTTTATTTCTCTATTATTATTGTTTAAATGTATTAAGGCAGTCGGCTCACCACTCATTCCGGATCCTACGTGAGATTCGTCGTGGAATTTCGGAAGTCCTCTTTCACGATTTTTAATTGTTGAAGAAGCACGAGAGAATGGGAGGGAAACATTTAAGATTCCCGCTTTATTTGGGAGTTTGCCCGAAGAGACCGAGTGGTGGCGCCAGCGTCTGGAGCCTGTGGTCACCACTGATCTCTATAGAGATTTCGCCTAGTACCAGCGCAGAGAGTGTTGCGCCAGCGCCACACATGCCCAAATAGTCTCTAGTACCTCAAAACGAATAACGCTCCACGTGTGGCGGACCTTTACGAGCAATTTTTTTATATGTACTAGCGCCGCCCCGGCCGCTCCGCGGCCGCGACGTTGATGCAATTCTCCATGTCAATTCTCATGGAACTGCTCGTGTGGATTCACCCTGAATAAATGCACAGTGCCCCATGAGCATTGCGCCATGACACTTGTGGTGGGCGCCATGACAGTGCTCTGCTTTTTTCAATAGGAAACTAGCGGCCGGAACGTTGATGCCTTCTTATAGCGCCACGATGCGGTGACTGTTCCAATTATTTTCGATTATTTTCGAGTTCGACTTTCTTCAATTCGATACTCTCGCAGACGTCATTTTGATTTGGCATGCATTCCGTTATATATAAGGAAAATTAGGTTATTAATTATTTATTGGTATACTCATTAAATCATATCCGTTTTTATCTTTGTTTGGCTCAATTGAATGAAATAAAACAGAAATATTCGAATATTCCGATTGGCCTTAGCTAAGAAAAGAAAAAGATCTTTAATTACATTGTTGTTGACATAAAATTGAATTCCCATCATTTAAAAACATGGATATCTATTCTATCTGCGTAAGGAAATTTTTCGACATCAATGAAAAGTTTTAATGAAAAATAAAATAAACTTAAAAAATGAAATATACTCCGTATCAATTTAGTCGCTCATGTGAGTCCGCCATGTATTGCCCAAAACTCACCGGAGAATGTGTGCCGCCATATTCAACATGGCGATGAGCATAAACCATGATCACGTGATGAATGGGAATACGCCATGCCAGTTTTCACGGGTGAATCTTTTTTATTGGGATTGTAATTGATCTTAGTGCCATTCAATAAATATTTGGTTGGTAACAATCGTGGTGAGTGAATCATCCTGGGGAAAAGGGATTAGACCTGCAAAAGTCTTAAAATTATGGGACTCTAACAGGCATTAGGCGGATGAATTTGACAAATTGTTCGGGTCGCAATAATTATCGAATTATTGACCGAGATTTAACCAATTTATTATCAATTGAATAATGAAATTTTATCCGTTATTTGCGGATTCCAAATCTTAATTAGTGGCAGTTGTATGTCAGTTAGGCTCCTATTTCAAAATTATCAATATGAGTAGCAAAGTTTATTGACAGCCAATCAAATAAATATGATGACTATGACGAGCCAATCACGGCGTTGTCCTATTTCGTCACCTGTTGAGCATTGTCGTTATGCCGTCAACGAGCATTTCTCGCTTGGACATCTGGATATATGCAGTGAATTTTGAGATTGTCGTTGCCTCTCTTTGATTATTGGTTCTATCGTGTATCGACCATGATGGATTATGGACTAAATGGAAGGACTGTTTCTGCTGTTCTCCTAGGACTTCGTCTCACTAAAGAACAAACGGTAGACAAGATCAGTAAAGTATTTGAGTAAATTTTGTATTCTATTTTGATTTACTGTTTCTGTATTTTATTGGGCTCATTATCCATGGCGACTGACACTGTGACCATTTTCGATTATTCGTCTTTCATGGTGTATTGTAATCACATTCGGTGCACATATCAGGCTTTATGGAAATACAGTTTATTAATTTGTGCCTGAATTCCAGTACTTTCCGGATTGAACCCTGTGCTTCGATTTGCAATTAACTTTTGTTGACTCTCAATTCTCATAATTTTTCGTTTCATCTTATTATCACGTCAAATATCGATTTTTGTCTTGCGTTCGCGTCAGTTGGAATTTTGAGGTCAGTGTTGTTGTCCCCGAGGTTACAACCTCCTATTTACCGTAGCCCGTGAAGCCACTCATTTTCGTAACTATTATATCATATATTATTTCTAAATTTACAGCATTGAGAATGTTGAAAAATTAATAGTATTTGTTGATTTGGCATTTTTGACAGTTTTATTAAAAACTTTCAGGCCCCCAGCATTGTGTCGCCTTGGTTTAGCCCCGAGGGCTGTACATATTTGTTCCTTTTTCCACGATGGCGAAATACGTCACAATATATACATTGTCTTTCAGATAGGAACAATTTATAGCATCATATTCGAAATAAAAATGTAGGGATGAAGAACGATGGCATCCAACTAGCAGGAGATAATAAAACACATTGAACTTTGGAGAAGTTACAATATCTTTAATTATAAAAAAGGTTTGAATGATACATGGGAAATCTTGAATCTAGCTTAAGTCTACTATCGCCTTGATGCTCGATTGAAAAGTAAGGGCTCCTAAGGTAGCTCTAAATAGAGCACTGTCATTGGTCGAAATCGAATTGGAATTAATAATCGGTAATAAGTACGTGTAGTGCCTGTAAAAAATTTTTCTGAAAAACTGAGCTCACCATCTAATAACATAGCTGTCGGGAAGCAAAAATAAAATTGAATCTGATTCAATCAGGTGAACGCCATGAAGAGGGTGAGCTGATCATATTATGATCTTTGTGGAGTTCGTATCATTCGTATCCCATCTCACAGACCATGTGAAATGCTATATTCTCGTGTTATTCAGAAGGGAGAAGGAGGAGGAGATTCCTTACATCCACCCAGCCATGAACAATTACTAATTTCAGGTCTTGTAGGGATCAATTCAGTTAATATCACCAGGTTCTCACATTATATGTGGCCGTCCAAATGAAAAGATCCCTTGCACTCGTTTCTAGTTTTCGAAATATTGGCACTTTTGTTCTTTGGGTTAAAATAATCTTTTTTCAACTATTTCAAATAGAAGTGGAACTCTACCCTCCTGGAAATAAGTCAACTAAACCGCAGTATCCCAACTCGAAGGTAATTATCAGGCCCTTGAAAGAAAAGAAAATGACAGGTGTAAAGGAACCATGCGAATTCCATATGGAGTTCCCTTCAGGGAGGCTTATTATTGCTGAGACGATTTTATCATGGCAGGATTCTTTCATGTGCGAAGGAAGTTTGAATCCAGAACAATGATTTTCATCCATTCAATATAGCAGAATACTTTGATTCCTGAATGTAGATTCTGGTTACCATGTGAAACAATTCAAAGATTCTTCAGTTTCGCTTGATTTGTTTGTTCTCATTGGATAGTGACAGACTTGCAATTGTATTTACCGATCGAATAATTTAAGATTTCGGTTAGAATCTCTTTATATTTACTTTTCGGAAAACGTCCCTTATTGACGAAGTCTATGTTTGGTGCGGAACAAAAGTCTCCTTCCGAATATTAAAAGATAACCATTCGATTTGATGCATGACCATAATACCCAGGGTCGCTTTAATTTGCAATCACAATGACCTCCGAGTAGAACTCCAATAAATCTATTGACTAACTTTAACTACAATTTTCTTTTCAAACATTGTCGTTCGAGTTTAGAAAACATTGTTTTTCGAGTTCTATTTGACCATCAATCTAGTCATGGAGCCCGCTCCATATCGCCAACATTTTCCACAAGATAAACGCAAAAAATACAACAACATTTGCCGTATTTTTTAGAAAATAATTTACAGGTCATAGAATATGATATTATAAAATAATGTTTACTCTCTACTACTCTATGATTACAATTTTACCTATGATTGCACTGTTGACAAGCGAAACACTCGAGATGATAGACATTGGCTCGAGCCCTCATGACCATTTCAAAGGCAGGAATAACCTTGGAGCAGGCAGCACAATAGCCAGTGTTACCGAATAATCTGTAAAAATATTCAATTTAATTTGCTGAGACAACAATAGCCAATAATCTGACATAAGGAGGGGAGGGTAGTGTGCCCTAGTGTTCTCTTCAAATATTGGGGCTATTAATAAAGGCTCGAATGGCCTCTCACAATGGCACCTGCGCGTATTCCCTCCGGAGTTTCGTAATCTCAACACACTTTATTTACCCTCCGTCCAGTGGTATTCCGTTCTCTTCCATTTTCATGCAGAAATACCATTCAGAAACGTCCACATGCTGACATTTGTATTATATTGGTAGAGCAAGGTATAGCAGATTATATGGGCATTCAATAAAATAAATTCGTCTGTTGAATTCGATTAGTGAACGCGCATTCTCTCGGGTACTGAATATTTGGTTTTTTTATCTTCGATGATTATATTGGGGCTTGGCATATTGACTCACCTGAGGTAATCACGTTTGCAGAGTATCAGATTGGCTTTTGTATAGAGGGTTGAACCTACTTCGCCCAGTCGACAGTCGCAACAGCCACATTTCAAGCAGTCCTCATGCCAAAACATGTCTAGAGCTTTCAGGAGATATCTGATGGAGAGGAAAACCTCATTATTCGTTCGGAATTTATCATGCGGAACGCTCCTGTGGAGAACTGTGTTATTGTTGTTGAGTTGTTCTTGTGAAATATCGAGGTATAGTGAGAGATGTGTCTGCGCGGTTTAGTGTATACAATACCGTTTACCCGCCTTCTACAACCATCAAATTGATGACTTTTCAACTTACCAGGATAAGGAAATTATTATAAATGCCTCGGAAATTTGAAATCAAATTTTCACTATGCACGGAAATAAGTACTTCAATCAAGTACATTTCACACTTAACACAAGGATACGTTATACCTAAAATAACTAATAATATACTTAAACTAAGTATATTTTCACACGTATTACACTCCAAATAAAAAGATTATTATACTTATTTTAAGTATATTGTATGCTTAATGCAAGTCTATTCTCTTTTCAATGGTGATATCCATGAAAAATTGAATTTTCCACGACTCTAGTAATTATTCTGAATACGTTAAATAACACAAAATCATTCGTTTTCAAGAAATACATGATCGTGCGTATTCCGAATCAGATCGAAATCGATCAAAATGTTTGAGATTCTGTCTGATTCTTGCGCTCAATAGAGCTATTTCAATGATATATGAGGACTAGCACTTTTGAAACGCGTGATGCACGTTTGCAAAGCATTTTTCAATGAGTGAAGTCAAATCACCAGATAATCGGTATCGCATTGTACATCGATTTCAGAATGAGGATCGAGAAAAAGAAAATAATCCTTTACATAAAAAAGATTGACAATGAATGATGGTCTTGATTATTAACTTTTTTTTCGTCTTCCTATTGGTCTTCCTATGGATCGATTGATCGTAGGACGCGCGACAGCGCGCATGATTGCCTATAGTTAACTGTTTAACGCACATTTTCAAATAATTCAATATCGCCTGGTTCTGTTTTAATATATAGTATTTCACACTGCTTCACCCATTCGCAAACGAATATTATTTTTTACTCATTCACCTAATTACAGATGTGGAAACAATCACATGGGATATATATTTCAACTTCGCAGTTCGACGTCCAGTTGATATCTTTTTATTATGCTTTTCTACTTCACTTTGCCATTTGTTTCCTTTTTTCCGAAAAATTAATGATTCATTACCGTTGTCATAGTGATGAATGTTGTAATTAATGAAAATAATGCATGTCATTTGACCATTTAGTCAATTTCACAATTTATCAATAATCGTTTTCGTAATTTCAAGTATGGGTGCATTGCGACTAAGATTTGATTCCCAATTCCAATTATAATTTATGCCAGACTTCTCGTCAGAGTCCGCCACAATCTTCATCCCACTTTAATCTCCTGTAAAACGTCTCAATTATTTGTTTGGGCAAATTAACCGCGAAGTTCTGATGCTTGTTCACTTGAGTCCGGAATATTTTCTGCTTATTGCTGATCTATTCTATTCCATTCAAAGATTCGATTAATCAGAAACTTGATCCTTCATCCTTGGTTGGGCCTCCATCCACAATCTGATCAAATTTTAAACAAGATTCCAAAATATTAATAAGTTAATTTCATATGACAAGGAAAGCTTTTTTCTAATTGACGAAAATTTCTTCCTTAATTCTCATTTGAACCAATCAAATTGCAGCCCCCACATCATTGATGCCTTTTTATTATACTTGCTCTGCGTTTTTTTTTATTTAGAACCAAATTAATTATATATTATATATTCATGATCGTTCTCATTTTACGAAAGATCAGATAATAATATATTATACAACACGTGCGTAATATATTTTTTGACTCGTGGGGGGTTTGTAACACGAGCCGAAGGCGAGTTTTACAATCCCACGAGTCGAAAAATATATTACGCACGCGTTTCATACAAAATTTTATGTCATCGCGCCCGGAATCCGCGATTTAACCGAGCGAAGCGAGGTTAGAATCGCGCGATTACGGGCACCGATGGCATAAATGAGAATTATCCATCTCGGTTCATGACTTATTCAATTCCTAGATTTCAATAACTGCGTTATTAATGCAGAAATGCCAGGCTTGCTGAATAGCAGTTGGTTAATAATTTTGAACTAAATCTCATTCAAAGGCATGTTCTTTTGAAATTTTCTATAATTAAAATTGTCTAGCCCTCACCTTTCTCCGTAATTCCATCAGCTTTAACTTTCGACAAATAATCTGAAATGCTTGTAATTTTTTATAAAACCCAGTAATTCTTGTACTTTTGACTTCTGAATAGAAGCCGTCGACCCGGAAACCAAAAAAATAGGAAATTTAAGCACTATATGTATCCGAAAGGATATGTTAATTATTTCTAAAAGTTTTATCAATCACGGTATAAAAACAGCGAAAGCTGAAGCATAGAATCTAAAATTTCGCCACAATGCGTATTGCTGTGGACCCGTTCTCGGTGCTACTTTAGCTAAATCGGCCGAGTTGTTTCAAAAATTGAGTAATTTCTCGACAATCTTCGATCCTTAGTATCAAAGAAATAACCTGCATTAATTCAATTTTTTAGGTCAAAATCTTCTTAGTAATAATTCTAACACATTCGTGTGTAAAATCCTGTATTTTGTTTTGTATTATCTTCCATTATTGAAAATCAAGTGGTTATTCAATATCATATTTTATGTAATTAACTGTACATAAGGTCAATATCACATGGTGTAAATATTACGTTTATTAAGAAAAAAAAATTCTTTTACCAAAAATTTGTACTAACCGCAAAAAAAAATGTATTCGATAAAAGAATTTAGTTTTCAATAAATCACTATTTTAACCCTCATTGAGTGAATGATTTTTTACATGCGATTTTTTTCATAACTCTGTAGCTTTTCTTTTTATTTTTTTCATTAGTTCAATGCAAATGACAAAATCCCCTAATCAAAATCTTGAGTTTTTCTATCACTAATAAATACTAATTATTCGTAAACGATTTATATTCCGGCTATTAAAGGGTTGTAACACGAGCGGAAGATGAGTTTTACAATCCCACGAGTCAAAAAATCCATAACCCACCTGTTTCATATACTATTTTATGTCATTGGGGTCGAAATCCGCGATTATACCGAACGAAGCGTCTTTGGCGCATGTTACAATTTGCTCACGCGTCAAAAAATTCATTGCGCACTTGTTCCGTAACATCCCAGGTAAGAATTGACAATTGGCCCAAGCTTCGCATCCAAGGCTGGCCCAAGCCTGGTTGAGCCCTGGGGTGATAACGTGCGGGCCTTCCGTGGCCACCAGAAAAAATAAAAAGTAATGTTCACTCAAGCATTTCTGCAGATGATTACTGTCTAATTACTCACTCCTAACTTATTTTCCACCGGGAATCGCCCATTTGTTAACTTATAATATTAGCCTAACCGGCGATCGAGCCGATGACCCCAAAATCTCGAGTCCTGTGCCCTAACCTCTAGTCTAACAGCCCGCTATTCTTACAAATCAACCTGAATCATCGATATATAGACTGCAGAAAGCTTCAAAACATAATTTCTATTAACTGCAATGAACCAAAAACCACAATGTTTAGTTACCATAGCGAATTGCATCTTAGGTATAATTATTGCCATTATTTTCATTACTGTTATTATTAATCATTATTCTTGTAATTGTTATTATTCATTCCT